CCTCTGCAATTGGTTCAGTTCGAGGCTGAGTAGTCTCAATTGGATCAGTGCATGTATTGGTCTTCTTATTGATCATCTTCTCCACAGGGTTACTTGAATTTCTTTTGAGTAATTGAAGGATTAGCACTTAGTTCGAGCTTTTTCAACAAACTTGTATGAGTACCACCATTTCCCCCTTCTAGAGATTTGGTCGTGAAAAATTGGCCCAGTTGGGGTTGTAATTGTTTGAGTGTTGCCGCATTCTATAGTATTAGCAATGACTGTAGCACTTACAGAGTTTCCAATTGTAACAAGCGGTGGATTTTTGAATAGTCTACCTCTCTTCTTTGCCATGGCTGCCAAGGTCGGTGCAGGTTAGCTTAACCTACGCCGAGAGCATAGCTAGTTAAAATCCGCATTCCCGAGGTGTTTACCAATAAGTCAACTCTTGGTTGACTTTTCTAACTCTAAAGCTACTTTTAGAGACTAAGTGTCTCAAACTTACCAAAACCATTTCGGATTCGATCCGACCAACCCGATACCACATAACACGGATAAACAAAGCATAAAGAAGCAGAAATAGGGAAAACGGAGCGGTAACTCATGAGATGACCGGCCGGGTCGTCACATCCTCCCCTCTTAACAAATGTTCGTCCTCGAACGTGCCCAGAGTTGTGTAACCTTACCGTGCATATACCCGGGGTTGATCCCACGTCACCCTATCTCATATAGGTCTGATAACACAATGTAACTGAAATTTCACAATCCAACCTAGCCCATAAATCTTAGAACCACATTTCCACTTCCGAAATCATCCACACTATCAGATCTCACATCTATACTCTGAATAAGCCCAAACAAGCTGTAATAACCCATGCCTGCAGCCTCAGGTGCAATTACATAATATACCACATAACTCCGACACTTGTAGCGATAACTTTTAATCACATCGGCTGCACACAACAACCGAATACCGATAAAAACCTCTTTATCAACTAAAGTCTCATCCCAACACTTTCATATACTGCAATGATAAATGAAAACGCAGTAAGCCATAACCATTTCTCAGATCAACCATTCATGACGCCACTTCTCCTTTTGGCAAGAACCACAGTAAATTTCTGAGCCGAACCTCGATATTATCCTTCCAACATGCTGAAATCGAATCCGTTTGTATTCCTTAAAGATCCCAACGATCTCATCTAATCCAACACAACTACTCTGGCGACATGACACATCAATACAGACTAAAGCACACAAGTTATGCAATCCGCGCACCAATAAGCAACAATCCGAACATACTCAAATCTTGAAAATGACTTAAATGAAAAAGTTGTACCGAAGCTCACCAGTACCACCCACACACAATGCTGAGACCCGTCACACATCATAGAAATAGAACACACGAATCTAACCCGCAGGATCATACCTCCACATAACTTCGCTGCAATGCGCGACCCTATCCAACCACTGGTTCACCTGAAACACCTCAAGTCACTATGCTCAAAATCGACAACCACGCGCAATTTGATTTCTATAACCAAAGAAAATCATCATAACCATGGCAAAGCAATTGACATAATATTACACAAACCCAAAAGGACACAACTGATACGCCATCCGCCGAGCAATATCCAATACTCTCCCGCTCGAGCTGCACTGAGAGGCCTCAATAACACCGCACTATATGTGCCTATAACCAACAAATCCAAATGCCCTGCAATATGGAAAAGTAACTCATATATCTCCTCAGAACACTAATAGGCTCAATAACAATCGAATGACACATCCCTCAGCAATACAACTTGGAGCCAACCAAGTCGACTAAAGTTACAACACACATCCACATTGGCCTGACAACGGATCTCTTATCAAGGAAACCCTGAAGCTGCTCCCTCAACTCCTTTAACTCTGCCAGTGCCATACGATACGGTGCCCGCCATCAAATCAATACCGAAATCAACAACCTTGCCCGGCGACATGCCCGACCACAAGAACACATCCGAAAAGTCCCTCACCCCCGGAACTGAATCAATGGTAGGAGTCTCTACACTGACATCCATCACAAAAGCCAAAATAAGAAAGACAATCCTTCCCGGCCATCCGCTGGGTCTTCGAAATATTAAACCACCCTACTACGAACATAAAATCCGTCGAACCTCGCCACTCAATCCGTGGCATTGCCAGCATAGCCAACATCAGCGCCTTAGCGCACTAGTCCAGAATAACATGACAAAAGGACAACCAGTCTATACCCAATATTACATCAAAATCTAACATACAAGTAGCAAATGATCCACTCGGGTCTCTAACCCCGATAGTCACTACACAGTGCCGATGCACGCGACCCACAACCACAACATAACCTGTTTTGAGAACTCCAGTGTCACTTAGGTATTTTATCAAATTATTGTTGGCATAAAGCTTCATAGTCCTTATTAATGCTGTTTCTACACCCAACAACCCATTATCTTACTCATAGATAAATTCTAAAATCTCAATTTGCTATAATCAATACCATTCTTCATCATCCATAAGATAAAAAACACACTTAATCAATAATCAACAATCAACAACCCAAACCTATAATTTCATGATTTTCTATCAAACCCATCAACTCATATCTCATGATCTTAGAGTCTACAAAAATTAATCCAATGGGTTGAGGGAGCAGCTTCAGGGTTTCCTTGATAAGAGATCCGTTGTCAGGCCAATGTGGATGTGTGTTGTAACTTTAGTCGACTTGGTTGGCTCCAAGTTGTATTGCTGAGGGATGTGTCATTCGATTGTTATTGAGCCTATTAGTGTTCTGAGGAGATATATGAGTTACTTTTCCATATTGCAGGGCATTTGGATTTGTTGGTTATAGGCACATATAGTGCGGTGTTATTGAGGCCTCTCAGTGCAGCTCGAGCGGGAGGAGTATTGGATATTGCTCGGCGGATGGCGTATCAGTTGTGTCCTTTTGGGTTTGTGTAATATTATGTCAATTGCTTTGCCATGGTTATGATGATTTTCTTTGGTTATAGAAATCAAATTGCGCGTGGTTGTCGATTTTGAGCATAGTGACTTGAGGTGTTTCAGGTGAACCAGTGGTTGGATAGGGTCGCGCATTGCAGCGAAGTTATGTGGAGGTATGATCCTGCGGGTTAGATTCGTGTGTTCTATTTCTATGATGTGTGACGGGTCTCAGCATTGTGTGTGGTGGTACTGGTGAGCTTCGGTACAACTTTTTCATTTAAGTCATTTTCAAGATTTGAGTATGTTCGGATTGTTGCTTATTGGTGCGCGGATTGCATAACTTGTGGCTTTAGTCTGTATTGATGTGTCATGTCGCCAGAGTAGTTGTGTTGGATTAGATGAGATCGTTGGGATCTTTAAGGAATACAAACGGATTCGATTTCAGCATGTTGGAAGGATAATATCGAGGTTCGGCTCAGAAATTTACTGTGGTCTTTGCCAAAGGAGAAGTGGCGTCATGAATGGTTGATCTGAGAAATGGTTATGGCTTACTGCGTGTTTCATTTATCATTGGCAGTATATGAAAGTGTTGGGATGAGACTTTAGTTGATAAGAGGTTTTTTATCGGTATTCGGTTGTTGTGTGCAGCCGATGTGATTAAAAGTTATCGCTACAAGTGTCGGAGTTATGTGGTATATTATGTAATTGCACCTGAGGCTGCAGGCATGGGTTATTACAGCTTGTTTGGGCTTATTCAGAGTATAGATGTGAGATTCTGATAGTGTGGATGATTTCGGAAGTGGAAATGTGGTTCTAAGATTTATGGGCTAGGTTGGATTGTGAAATTTCAGTTACATTGTGTTATCAGACCTATATGAGATAGGGTGACGTGGGATCAACCCCGGGTATATGCACGGTAAGGTTACACAACTCTGGGCACGTTCGAGGACGAACATTTGTTTAAGAGGGGGAGGATGTGACGACCCGGCCGGTCATCTCATGAGTTACCGCTCCGTTTTCCCTATTTCTGCTTCTTTATGCTTTGTTTATCCGTGTTATGTGGTATCGGGTTGGTCGGATCGAATCCGAAATGGTTTTGGTAAGGTTTGAGACACTTAGTCTCTAAAAGTAGCTTTAGAGTTAGAAAAGTCAACCAAGAGTTGACTTATTGGTAAACGACCTCGGGAATGCGGATTTTAACTAGCTATGCTCTCGGCGTAGGTTAAGCTAACCTGCACCGACCTTGGCAGCCATGGCAAAGAAGAGAGGTAGACTATTCAAAAATCCACCGCTTGTTACAATTGGAAACTCTGTAAGTGCTACAGTCATTGCTAATACTATAGAATGCGGCAACACTCAAACAATTACAACCCCAACTGGGCCAATTTTTCACGACCAAATCTCTAGAAGGGGGAAATGGTGGTACTCATACAAGTTTGTTGAAAAAGCTCGAACTAAGTGCTAATCCTTCAATTACTCAAAGAAATTCAAGTAACCCTGTGGAGAAGATGATCAATAGAGAGACCAATACATGCACTGATCCAATTGAGACTACTCAGCCTCGAACTGAACCAATTGCAGAGGAGAAGGTTAGTTCTTCCTGGGTGAAATTATTTGCGGGGAATAGATCTACAGAAAATGGTATGACATTATCATATATTGCTCCTGAGGTAGTGGATGGTCAATTTGTGGTGAATTTAGATAAAGAGGAGGTAGAAAATGAGACGGAAAAATGGAAGAAGGCTCTAATTGTTTATGTAATTGGAGAAACACCAGGCTACAATCAGACGTATCGATATATTTCCCAGTACTGGAATAACGTAGCTGAACCACATCTGTACTTGCATGAAGATGGCTATTACATCGTCAAATTCCTCAACCTAGATGATCTAAAAGAAATTCTGTATGGAGGACTTTATACCATTAATAGTAAGCCTGTGATTCTCAAGCAATAGTCGCCGGATTTTGACTTCAATGCTGAATTTCTAACAGAGATTCCACTATGGTTGAAATTCCCTAAGCTTCCGATGAACTGCTGGGGAATAAACTCATTGAGTAGGATGGCCAGTACTCTAGTTAATCCCCTGTTTGCTGATCAATGTACCACCAAACAAACTAGAGTGTCATATGCTAGAATTTTAATTGAGGTAAATGTGACAAAAAAGCTTCCTACTGAAATAACTGTTAAAGACCCGTCTGGTAGGCACTTTCAACAGCCCATTGAGTTTGAATGGAAACCAGAGTTTTGTGCTGAATGCTTGAAGATTGGTCATGATTGTGTGAAGGAGAAACAACTAGGGAATCAAGTGCAATATCAGAAGAACAAAAGGCCAAGAGTAGTTCAAAAGTGGATCCCTAAACAACAACAGAAGGATCCTGCAGTAAGTGAACAAAATGAAGATTCAGGCAACCAAAACAAAGGAAAAGCTGTGATTCAATCTAGTAATGAAGGAGGTTAGATACAGGTTAAAGCAAGAGGATCAAGCTCAAGTATAAAAGCAGCAGCACCACAACAAACCCCTGTGGACATTATAACAGCAAATGGATTTCAAGGTTTGACTGAAGAGGAACAGAGAAATATCAAAGCTAATCCTCCAGATTTAGGAGGAAATAAGCCTACTCAATGACCTGGCTTTTCTGGAATATTAGGGGCATAAATAAGAGGTACAAACAGAAGGAGTTAAAGCAGTATCTCATAAGTAATTATATAAAGTTAGCTACTATCATAGAAACAAGAGTTAAACAGAATAAGGCATTACATGTTGCTAGTAGAGTTACTCCTAACTGGGAAAGAATATCAAACTACAAGGAAGCAAGGAATGGCAGAATATGGATCATATGGGATCCCAAATGGTATGACATACAGCTTGTTCAAGAAGATGCACAATTCATACACTGTCAGGTCAATGGACTGCAGAATGGAATCAAATGCCTACTTACAGCCATCTATGGGTATAACACAATTGAACAGAGGAAAGATCTTTGGGATGGGATTCAAAGGATTGCTCCTAGGAGTAATGAACCTTGGCTATTGTGTGGGGACTTCAATGCTGTCCTGTACCCGCAAGATAGACAAGGTTCACCTATTACTATGGCAGAGTTGCAGGATTTCTCAAATTGCTGCAATAGTCTACTGTTGAATGAAGTACCTTGGAGAGGAGAGTACTATACCTGGACAAATAAACAACAAGGTGCAGACAGAGTTTGTAGTAGAATTGACAGAGCTATAGCAAATGATGAATGGAGGTGCAATATGGCCATTTGACAGTAGAATTTGGAGAGCCACTTATTTCTGACCATGTACCTATACTGATTCCTCTCAGAGCCACAAAGAAGAACATGAAAATTCCCTTCAGATTTTTCAATGTTTGGACTGAACATAGAAGCTTTAAACAAATAGTTGTTGATGGGTGGAAAAGAAGTGAGACAGGAGGGAAAATGAGGAATGTATGGACCAATCTGAAACAGTTGAAACCAGTATTCAAGAAGCTTAACAATGAAGAGTTCAAAGGGATTACTGAGAAAATTACAAAGGCTAGAATGGAGCTGATAGATCTTCAAAAACAAATGCAACATGGATACTCTGATAATTTGGCTGAACAAGAAAAGCTATGCTTAAAACAATTGGAGAAATGGTCTATGATTGAAGAAAGTGTGATGCAACAAAAATCCAGAGCTACATGGATTAGACTAGGTGATGCAAATACAAGATATTTTTCAACTGTGATGAAAGAAAAACAACAACAGAAACAGATCCTGGAGATCACTTCATTGTCCGGTGTGAAACTGAAAGACCCTACAGCAATTAAGGACACAGACTTCTACAAAGCATTGATGGGATCATCTGCAATTTCTCTACCTGGTGTTAATATGAGGGTGATGAAAAGGGGACCCCAACTGACTCACTGCCAGCAAGTTGAGCTATGTGCAAAGGTTACTGATGCTGAAATCTCTGAAGCTCTTGGTTCAATAGGGGATCACAAGGCTCCGGGGATAGATGGTTTCAATGCCACCTTTTTCAAAAAAGCTTGGCCAGTCATTAAACCTGAGGTATGTGCTGCTGTTAGAGATTTCTTTGAATCTGGAACCATGTTTAGAGCTATTAATTGCACCACCTTAACCCTTATTCCAAAGATTTCAAATCCTAACACTGTGAGGGACTATCGACCCATTGCTTGTTGTACCATTCTGTACAAACTCATTGCAAAAATCCTTGCTGGGAGAATGCAAAAAGTTATGAGCTGTATCATTTCAGAAGCCCAGTCAGGATTTATTCCAGGTAGAAGGATTGTGGATAACATTATACTTGCACATGAGCTGGTCAAATCATATGGCAGAAAACACATCTCTCCTAGATGTATGATCAAAGTGGATTTGCAGAAGGTCTACGACTCTGTTGAATGGGTGTACCTAGAACAGGTGCTTGAAGGTTTGAATTTCCCAGGAAAGTTTATCAAGTGGTTAATGTCTTGTGTGAAAACTGTCAACTACACCATCCTCTTGAATGGAGAATCCCTAGAACCATTTAATGCTGCCAAGGGACTTAGACAAGGAGACCCAATCTCCCCTTCCTTGTTTGCCATAGCTATGGAGTATTTGAGCAGACTTCTTAATGAGCTACACCAAGATAAAAGTTTCAAATATCATCCTAGATGTAGCAAATTAAATATCACCCACCTAAGCTATGCTGATGATTTGCTGTTGTTTGTCAGAGGAGACATATCCTCAACCCAAAGATTACAGGAGTGTTTCACAACTTTCTCAAGAGCTTCAGGATTGCAAGCAAACCTGAATAAAAATGCCATATATTGTGGAGGCATGGAGAGAAGAACTATAGATACAATCTGCCAAAATATGGGACATACTCAAGGGCAACTACCTTTCAAATATCTAGGGGTGCCTTTGGACACAAAGAAGCTGAATATGTTACAATGGCAACCACTCATTACAAAAATTGTAGCAAAGATCACCTCATGGACTGCAAAAAAGTTGTCCTATGCTGGAAGGGTCCAATTAATACAAATTGTGTTATTTGGCATCCAATCCTATTGGGCACAAATATTCCCACTACCAGCTAAAGTGATCAAGTTAATAGACTCTCATTGTAGAAGCTACATGTGGTCTGGGGGGAATGAGATTACAAAGAAGGCTCTCATTGCTTGGGATAAGGTGTGTCTACCTAAAACAGTGGGTGGACTTAACCTTAGCAACCTGCATACCTGGAATACTGCTGCCATTGCTAAGACTTTCTGGGACTTATCTCACAAGAAAGACAAGTTGTGGATTAAGTGGACCCATACAGTGTAAATCAAGGAGCAGAACATATACTCTATGCCAATCCCTATGAATGCAAGCTGGATGGTAAGGAAAATTTTGGAAGCAAGGAAGACCATAATGCAGCTACAAAGACCATTAGAGGCTAAGAAGAGCATCATTAGACAGATATACCTCCAACTTATTCCAATATTGCCCAAACTTACCTGGAGATATCTAATGTGCAATAATGCTGCTAGACCTAAGGCAAAAATCACAATGTGGCTCCAGTGTCAAGGAAGACTGCTAACTGTGGACAGGCTTAAGAAATGGGGCCTCAAAGTGAATGACTTATGTGTGCTATGCCATACCAATTTGGAGACAAGGGATCACCTGTTTGCTGAATGTGACTATGCTAAAAGGTTGTGGAACAGATAGAAACAATGGGCACAGATACAGAACAATAATGGGGCAACATGGGAGATGCAGCTACAAGTCATCTGCCAGCAAACAAGAGGCAAGTCAGCTGCTACAAAGCTTCTAAAGATGATATATGCTGAATACACTCATGCACTGTGGAAAGAAAGGAACCAGAGAATATTCCAACAAACATTCAGAGATCACACAAGCTTGGCAAGAGAGATAGTTTGCATATGTAACTTTAGGGCCACAGGAAATGTAAAGACACTGATACAAAAGTTGTATTTCTAGCATAGATCCAGGATAGTAGCTCAATACATGCTAAGATAGATTTGTCTTTCCCTTTGTAGTTTATTCATGAGAAAGTACAGCTAGCTGGGAGTAGCTAAGCTCTGATATGTAATGCCTTCACTTTTGGTGATTAATAAAATTTTAATTACCAAAAAAATGCGGATTTTATGGCTCGGATAGCTTCGTTAGGTGATTTGGGACTTAGGAGTGTGTCCGGAATATTTTTGTGATGTCCAGTGAAGAATTAGGCTTGAATTGGCGAAAGTTAGTTTTTGGCGATTTCTGGTCGGCAGTGGAAAATAGGCTATCGGGGTCGGAATGGAACTTAGACAGTGGGAACAGGTTCATAATGTCATTTTGGATATGTCTGCAAAATTTCAGGTCAATCGGAGTTGTTTTGGATAGTTTCGGTGTCGTTGGTGGAATTTAGGAATTTCAAAGTTCGTAGGCTTGAATTTGATGTGATTTTGGTGTTTTGATGTCGTTTTTGGTGTTTCGAAGGCTTGACTAAGTTCAAATGATGTTATGGGACGTTTTGGTATATTTGTTGAGATTTCCGAGGGCCTCAGGTGGATCTCGAAAGTTTAACGGATCAATTTAGACTAGAAGAAAAGCTGCTGCATTTTTTTTCACAGCAACATGAACAGTAACTCGGGTGAACAGTACTCAAGTGAACAGTAACTCGGGTGAACAGTACTCAGGTGAACAGTAAAACGCGTGAGCAGTATTTAAATAAACCCTCCGCGACCATTAAACCCTTTTACACCATTTTTGAACGGGAAAAGAGCTTTGAGGCGATTTTGAAGAGAGGAAATCATTGTTCTTCATTGAGGTAAGGATTTTGGACCCTAAAACTTGATTATTTGTGATTAAGGAACAAAATATCAGTGTTTAATTCATGAAAATCAGTAGAAAAAAGTGGAGTTAGGGCTTGAGATTATGAGACCTTCTAGGGATGATTTGAGGGGTCAAACGAACTCCGATTTTCGAGTTCTTTATATGTACGGACTCGTGAGATGATGAAGAACATTTTGGTATAAAGTTTGTCCAGTTCTGGGATGCGGGCCCGGGGGTCGGGTTTTGACTGATTTCGGGTTTTGTGCTTAAAATCGATATTTTTCAATTGGAATTCATTCGTTTAGCATAATTTGATGATAAAAATCTGAACTTGGTAGATTTGGAGCACTCGGAAGTTGGTTTGAGAGGCAAGCGTCTTGCAGAGTAGCTTTTCGGGCTAGTTCGAGGTGAGTAATGATTTTAAATGCTGTCATGAGGGTATGAAACCCCGGAATTTCACAACGTTCGGCTATGTTGAGGTGAGACACACGCTAGATGATGAGCATGGGATCGTGCACCGTTGGGGATTATTACTTAGTCCATCCCGAATGACTATTTTACTGCGTTATTGACAAATAATTGTTTGATATTATTATATTTTGGGCTAAATGACATATGTGGGCTTCGTGTCAACTGTTTGAACCCTTAGGGGATTTTAAATGATATTTTTCTCACTGTTTGATTTCATACTGGTGCTCAGTCATGCTATATTTTCAGTATTTTCAAAACTCAGCTATGTTATTCTGTTTTAAACACATTAAATGATATTTTTAAAGATATTTTGATCTGAGCTTCATGTTTTATTGTGGCCCGAGGGGCTTATGAG